CTCGCCCAGGGCGGCCCCGAGCCGGACGCAGTCGGGGCGCTGCGCCGCGGTAAGTCCCTCTGCCTATCCTCCCACGTCCCACTGCTGGTCTGCGTCCTGGTCTTGCGATCGGCCTCGTTCTCCCCCGGCCTCCACGGACTTGGCGGGCAGTGGAGGCAGGACCCCCAGGATGGGAAACTGAGGCCGAGAGGTGCGGCCGCCTGATGTCACCTACTATTCAGAGGTGGGGCCAAAGCCGCAGCTGGGGGCCTCGTCCCTCTGAAGGACCATCCGCGGACTGGGAAGAGGACCCCTGCACCCCCTTTCTCATCACTGAGGCCTCCATCCAGCCCTGTTCAGAGCTTGGGGGCGGAGGGGGTGTCAGAAGGCCAAGCTCCGAGTTCTGGGGGGGCGGAGATGACGCCATCCACCCAGCCCAGGTCAGAGCGGGAGGGTCCCAGCACCCGGAGCCACCTGGAGCCCAGAGGCCTGAGAGCTGGGGACACTGAGGCCCGAGGGGGCTAGGGGCCCTGCCTTATGCCCAGGGCCGCGGTGGCCAGCGCATCCCGCCCTCCAGGCCTGCCAGCCACCTGCCCCAGCCCAGTGCTCCCTCCTCCCCCTGCCAGGCCCGTCATGTTGCCAGGAGGGCGTCGATGGCAGATGTAGAGACAGAAGGGGAAACCGAGGCCGGGAGGCAGGTCTCTGCTGGGCGCCGCCCCTCCTGCACCGCCTCACAGTGGCCCCTTGCCCCCGCAGGCTGCCCGGGCGCCCCGTCCCACAGCCCCTGCAGACCAGGCCATGAGAACGCGACCGGACCAGGGACCAGGCCACCTCTCCCCGCCACCCCACCCACGGGTCCCTGCTGCCACCGGTCTGGGAGCCGAGGGGCCCTGGCGGCAGCGGGCAGCTGGGGGGCCTCTGCCAGTTCCCAGGCTCCTGACCCACCCCCACTGGCCGCACCCCTGCAGGTCTCACAGAGTCATGGACTGAGGCCTGCCGGTCCCCACTGCTCAGATGGGGAAACTGAGGCCTGGGGAAGCGGAGCGGCTGGCCTCTGGCCACAGAAGAAGGTAGCTCCGATGGTAGGGGAGAGCGGCCAGGGCCCCCACGTGAGGGCTGTCTGCGCTGTCCGCCTGGACGTGCCCGGAAGACCCGCAGGCTGTCCGAGCCCCACCCCTGCTCCATGCCCCCTTTCCCTGCCTGAGTCCATGGACCCCTGAAACTCTCCTGTAAGGGGGGCAGAGCTGGGCTCGACCCCTGTCCTGAGGGTGCCCGCTGCATAGGCCCCTCTGCCCTGCCAGACCCTGGCCCTTCCAGAATCTTCTACTCTTCCTGTGGCTCCTCCTGAGCTGTTGCTTGGGGACCACCGCTCAGGTAAGGGGAGACCTAGCCAGCGGTGGGGATCACCAGCCCCTCCCCAGGCTCACGGTGAGTGTCTCTCCCCAAGTAGGGTCCAGGCGAGTGGACGCCCTGGGGTTCCTGGAGCCGCTGTTCCAGCTCCTGTGGGCGGGGTGTCTCTGTGCGCAGCCGGCGCTGTGTCCGGTGAGCAGGAGGCTGGAGGTGGGGGCATGTCCCTGTCCCCCGAGGCTCTGCGGCCAGACCCGCCTCGTCCCCGCCCTGCCGCACCCTGGGCCTGCCCACACACGCGGTGCCCTTTAATCCCTCTGATGCCCTGGAATGCGGGTGGGGTTGGTGGGTGGAGAGAGGGCAGGCAGCTGAGGGGTCCCCGTGCACCCTCCTGCCACCCTGTCCCTGCAGGTTCCCCGGGGAAGTGCCGTGCTGGGGGGACAGCCACGAGTACCTCCTCTGCCAGCTGCCGGTAAGGATCTGCCCACTCAGCTGAGTCTGCCCCGGGCTCCCAGGAGCTGCCCCGGCCGGCCTTGACCCACCCACTCCTACCCCAGGACTGCTCCCCAGGGGCCACGCCTTTCCGAGACCTCCAGTGTGCACTCTACAATGGCCACCCTGTCCTGGGCACCCAGGGCACCTACCAGTGGGTGCCCTTCCATGGGGGTGAGTGGCCTGCCCTCCTGGCCTTAGGGCTCACTTGGGGGCCGTGCGGAGAAGGGGGCATTAGCGGTGGGGCTTCAAAGGATATGTAGGAGTTGGTGACGTGGAGGGTGGCGGAGGCCACTCCTGTCAGGGGTGACAGAGCTGTCCAGAGTCCAGCCGTTCTCACTTTCCCAGGGGCCGGGACCATTATCGTGCTGAGCTGAAAATAGCCGTTATGTAAGCCGTGCCCGGGGCGCACGCCTGAGGGGCTGAGGGAGACGGGTAGTGGAGGCGGCAGTGCAGGCGGGAGGCCGGGGCTGAGGACGTCTGGGCCGCAGCCTCGTGCACCGGCCCTCCCCACCTGCCTGCCTTTCCCCTTCGGTTTTCCTGGACAGTCACAAGAGCCCACCAGGACCCCACCCGGCAGAGGCCCATGAGGGCCGCCTTGGGCCAGGGCTGTGGGGGTGATCGGATGGCCCCTTTGCCCTGCTGCCAGACAGAAGGGGAAACCGAGGCCTAAGGGGGCCAGCGACCTGCCCAGGCCACACGGGCTCAGGACGGGGCCCATGGTTTACTGGGCGCCTGCTGGGGGCCAGGCCAGCGCCCACCACGGCCTCCCTGCTGCTGCACGGGAGCTGGCTTGTGCCTGCATGCCAGGAGGGGACCGGAGCGCCGGATGGATGGCTGAGTGAGGGCTGGGTAGCAGCGGAGAGCCCCACCCTCACGGCCACCACGCACATGGACGAGGGGTCGCAGGACACTAAGCCCGAGGGGCCTGGCGGCGGAGGCTGAGCGCCTGCGTCCTGGCTGCATCAGCCTCAATCCGTGGCTTTGGCTGGCTCTCCGGGCCCCATCCGTCCAAGGGGAGGGTTACTTTGAGAGCTGTGTGGGGCAGTGGCACGCCTTCTCCCACAGCTTGGGCCGAGTTCTGGACGGCCCCCCCTGCAGCCCGGGTGCCCAGGGGCTCTGTGTGGCGGGCCGCTGCCTGGTAAGGACTTGCCAGGCCCGTCCCCGCCTGCTCCTCACATCCAGGCCCTGCCTCCAGGCCCCTTTCCGTTTGGTTCGAGGTCCTGCCCTCTCCTGTGGTTCCCTCTTCCAGGCTCCAGCCTAGACTCCTAACTCCAGGCTGGGCCTAATCCTCCAGGCCCCGCCCTGTACTCGCAGGCCCCGCCCTTTATCTCAGCTCCTTCCAGCCCCCCTTCCCCCACCCCAGTCCTCCAGGCTGCGTTCCTCCCCGACTCCAGCTTGACCTCTCCCCTCCAGGGCCCGCCCTATACTCTCAGGCTCCGCCCTTCTCCAGGGCCCGCCCTTTATTTCGGCCACTCCCACCAGGCCCCGCCCACCCACCAGGCCCCGCCCCTACCCAGGCTCCTGTCCAGGCTCCGCCCCTGGGGTCGTCAGTTACATGCCGGGTGTCCCCCACCCCACAGAACGCCGGCTGTGACGGGCTGCTGGGCTCGGACGCCCGCGAGGACCACTGCGGCCGCTGCGGCGGCGCCAACGACTCGTGCCTCTTCGTGCAGCGAGTGTTCCGAGATGCGGGTGATCGCCCGCCCCGTCCTCCCAGCGCGCGTCGGGAGCCGGCCCCGTAACTGGCGGCGGGCCGGAAGCGAAAGCTCGTGCTCATTGGGCAGTCTGCGGCCCAGCCTCCCCGTTCTTCCTCCTGATTGGCCGCCAACACCTTGTCCCACCCTGCCCAGAAAGGACGGGGTTTTTACGCTTTCCCGCTGCACTTAGGCGCTTCCCCCAGTGTCCCTGGGTCGAGACCCTGAGGAGCTACCTCTACTGCAGATACCATCTAATCCCCACGTACGCCCCAGCAGCACCCCAACGCTTCCCCCTCCCGTCCAGGTGCCTTTCCCGGGTACTGGAACGTGACCTTGATCCCCGAGGGCGCCAGGCACATTCGCGTGTCCCAGCGGAGTCGCAATCACCTGGGTACGCCGGATCTGCAGGGGCACAGGCGGGGTGGGGCGGGCCTGCCCTGGGAGCTGGGCTGACCCTCCGTTTGCAGCGCTGATGGGTGGCGACGGGCGCTACGTGCTCAACGGGAACTGGACGGTCAGCCCTGCTGGGACGTACGAGGCGGCAGGCACCCACGTGGTCTACACCCGTGTCGCGGGGCTGGAGGAGTCGCTGCGCGCGGCCGGCCCCACCTCCCAAGACCTGCTCCTCCAGGTGCTGCGTAGGGCCGGGGCTAGGGGTCAGAGGGGCTCACAGCGAGGCCGGCAGGCAGGAGGGGAGCAGGTCCACCAGGTCCAGCGGGCTCCCTGCTGCCTTTCCCTCCAGATCCTCCTGCAGGAGCCCAACCCAGGTGTGGAGTTCGAATTCTGGCTGCCTCGAGAGCGCTACGGCCCCTTCCAGGCTCAAGTGCGGGCCCTGGGCTGGCCCCTGTGGCAGCAGCAGCCCCCGGGGGCGCCCGGGGGCACCAGCAGCCTCGGGAGGTGGAGCCTCGGCCCCCACAGCCCCCTGTAGCCCCCGCAGCCATCCCTGCACAACCCGTGGCCCCAGGTGAGGCGGGGGGCTGCCAGGCGGGGGCAGGCAGAGGTGAGGCCTGTGGTCCTCACAGCACCCCTCCACAGACCCCTGCCCGCCCTGTCCCGACTCCCGCGGCCGGCTGCTCCACTACTGCGGCAGCGACTTCGGTGAGACGCCCCGCCGGGCACAGACCCTAAGCCCCTGCCCTGCATCCTGCCTGTCCTGTCCCGTTGACCTCTGGCCCTGACCCCCGTCCCCGGGGCCCTCGCTGGTGGTGGGGTGTGGACAACTGTGCAGTGGGCCCAGGCGCTTCAGTGCTGGCCCTGCCGCAGTGTTCCAGGCTCGCGTGCTGGGCCGCCACCGCCAGGCCCAGGAGACCCGCTACGAGGTGCATGTCCAGCTTGTCTACAAGAGCAGCTCTCCGCTGCGGGCCCGGGAGTACGTGTGGGCGCCTGGCCGCTGCCCCTGCCCGCCACTGGCCCCCCACCGCGAGTACCTGCTGGCTGTCCGGCGCCTGGTCACCTCTGACGGCACACAGGATCAGCTGCTGCTGCCTCACGCAGGCTACGCCCGGCCCTGGAGCCCTGCCGAGGACAGCCGAGCACGCCTGGCCGCCCGGCACTGCCCCCACTGAGCCCTTGCAGGGAGAAAGACACGTCTGGGCTGCTGGGACTCAGCCCGGTCCTCTCTCACCCTGCCTTCCAGGGAGCTCAGAGATCTCTCCCACCCTCAGCTCTGAGCGTCACACGCTTAGACACTGCTGCACACAGACCCACGGTCATGAGTGGGCAGGCGTGGGGAGGACACACTGGAAAGGCTAGATAACTCGTTTCTCCTGTCGCCTTGGCTGCTGGGAAGCTTATAGCCATTTCACACTCCAGCTTTGTGTCTGCTTTTGTTCTCCTTGCCTCACACCCTCACACTCTCTCGTCTAGGACCACAGTCATGAGTGAGCAGGGCACCCTCTGCCCTGGGTGTGGGGGAGCTTGTCACTGTTCAGCTCCCTGTCACTCACTGGACTCGCTCCCTCTGTCACCGCACACCCCGATGTTCTTGGACACTCACACACAGGCATGCCCCTTAGCAGACATGCTAGCCAGGCACTGTGTCTTACCAGTTTCCACATTTGCCCTGGCTCCCAGGAAGCTCACGGGTCATCTTGCAGCCCTGGTGGGTCTTCCCTTCCCTTTCTGTACTATTTGATGAATTGTCACGAGCACCCCAGCCTCACCTACTGCACCGCAGAGACGCGGGGTCATGGGCACAATTGCACCCTCTCCGCGTGGACACACACAGTTGCACCCCACCCTCTCCACTTGGTCACGGACCCCCGCTCCCAGCGTCTGGCGGGCGGTGGGGCTGAGGGACAGGAAGTGTATGGTGGAATGCCGCCACAGCGGGAGCGGCCTT